GCACGATACGGGGGTTGGAGGGCACGATACGGGGGTTGGAGGGCACGGTACGGGGGTTGGAGGGCACGGTACGGGGGTTGGAGGGTATGATATGGGGGTTGGAGCGTATGATATAGGGTTGGAGGGTATGATATGGGGGTTGGAGGGTAAGATATGGGGGTTGGAGGGTAAGATGTGGGGTTGGAGGGTATAGTGTGGGGGTGGAGGGTATGATACGGGGCTGAGGAGTCAAGAAGCCATCTCTCCTGGGTAAGACTCTATTGGGATCCCCACAATGGTGCGCCAGAGCCCTGAAGGGTAACCAGGCACATGGTCCCCCGGGAAGAACTGTGCTTTGGTTTCTGGACAACACTCCCTCCTCCTCCTGGGACTTGATCTTCTTCCAGCACTTTCCTTCCTCTGAGAGTTCTCATGCTGGCCACTGCAGCCCAGTGTTTGCATACATGCAGCAGGCCTCAGCTTCTGAAATATGATCCTTCCTCCCTCTTCTCTAAAATCAAATTTGACTTCCCTTAGCCCACTCTCAACTAGCTGGGCTAGAGGCATTAATCTGACAGTGAAATTCACACTACAGTGTAAATGACTGACCAAGAAGGGGCTTGGTGAGGTAATGCTTTAGCAGAAGGCATGAGTCTTGGTTGGTGAAAATTCTCTTGGCAGGCCAAGAGAAAAAGGTAACTTTTTTTCCCTGCCTATCAGTAAAAACCCATTTTACTTGAGGTCTGAGCTGGCCCTTCCAGAAAGTTCTTATAGGCCACTAGCAGATGTAGGAGAAGGAAGTGCCAACAAAATGTTTGGGTGAGGCAGAGACTACGTACCACACTCAGGAGGGTTGCTTTCCTGGGGCAAGAGGTCCTCTGGCTGGGAGGACCCTGGAGGACTCTAGAAGACTAATGGGGGCCTTGGTGACAGAGGGAGGCCCAGAGTCCTGTCCTCAGCCCCAGGGACTCCTCTTCCACTGCCACCACTCTTCTGCCTAATCCAGGCAGCATCCCGTAGGAAGCAACAGAAGCATCACCCAACATACTCCCTGCACATGGGCTCACAAGACCCTGAGGTCCCTAGGGAGGTGGGCACAGTCTCCTGCTTCCCATTAGGCAGGATCTGCCTTTTCTGGGCCTGCATGTGGGCTTGAAAAATAGTCCATGAGGTCCAGAGACTGGTAAGCCTGGGCCTGGAGTTTGGGCCCACACACCTCGTCACAGCCTCAGAGGTACTGTGCTGAGCTGGGGTGGCTGCCCCAGGGTCTCCTGAAGAGGCACGGATGAGCCACTTCCAGGGCACACCTCCCCATGTGCCTGGGGTGAGCCAGCTTCCGTTTAAAAGCCAGTTTCTCCTTCTTCACCTGAAATTGGAAGACTTCTCTCACTCCGTGGGGTGTTAAGAGTGCCATGGCCCCTGCATCTGGTTGCCAGGAGACCGAGCCAGGACTGACTCAGGGTTTCCGGAATCTGGGGATGGCTGTGCCAGCTTTGTTAGGTCGTGAATGGCTTCTCCCAGGCTTCTTTCCTCCCAGCCGCTCCTGTGATGCTCTGGGCCTCGTCACCTGCACCTGCTCAGGGACTGGAACCCCTTGCCTCTCCCTGACAACCTGTTCTCCTTCAGGAAGCGAGCATCCTGAGACTTCCCCAAAACATGCAGACATGCACACACTTGCACACACAGGCACACACAGACACACATGCACACACACGCACATGCATGCACACATACACACACGTGCACACACGCTGCCCCTCATCCTCATCCTCATCCACAGACAGATGTTTCGGAAAGGTGCATAATTATTCTTAACTTTTTTTTTTACAGACAGGGTCTCACTATGTTGCCCATGCTGGTCCCAAACTCCTGGCCTCAAGGCATCGTTCTGCCTTAGCCCATCAAAGCTCTGGATTACAGGCCTGAGCCACCACATCTGGCGGGCTGGACCTCATTCTTGACTTGTTGCCCTCACTCCTTTCCAGCTGCCTTGAAGCTCTGCAAACTCTACCTCCTAAACATTTATTGAGCCCATTCTCTTCTCTCCATCCCATTTCCACCCCAAGTAGAGTCCATTGCCATTTCTTGCCACCCCCACCCCAACAACTACACCATCCATTCTCCACACTATTGCCAGAGGCAACTAAAACAATAAATCTAATTATATACTGGGATTGACAAGAGTGCTCGCTAGGATGCTGCTGTGTGGTATCGTGTTTGGGAGGTGGTTACACTGGTATATATACATGTCACTTAAGATCTCTGAATTTTATTTTACGTAAATTATACCTTCTCCCCTTTCTCTATACACACAAATACATCTGTATATGAAATTAGTCTATGTCAATTTATTGCATCCAAACCTTCCATGGCTGCTCAGTCATAAGCCCCAAAGCCTTGATGTGACTGTCGAGCCTCAAGTGACGTGGACCCTTCTTTCTTCTCCAGCCCACACTAGCCTCTTGCCCACTGGCCTTGGCTTCACCCACACTCCCTCCAGGACTTTGCCTGCTGTCCTCTCTCCCTGGAATGCTGTTTCCTCCCTTGATCTTCCTAGATAACTCTGGCTTTTCATGTCTCAGCTTAATCATTCCTTTCTCATGGAAACCTTTCCTGAGTCCCTGTCACATGCTCTTGTAGCACTAAATGCACCCACAGTAGCACTTTACACGTTGTGATTTTTCATTTCCTATAGATGATTGTTCTAATGCTGCTTTCTCTTAGATTGTAAGGCAAGGAGGGCATTTTGTTTTATTTATGACTGTGTTACTTACACTGTGCATGTCTGGCACATAGTAGGCACAGTTGTATGTTGCACGGCTGTGTTTGTTTCTATCATCGCTCTCATGACATTGCACTTTGTGTATTGATTGAATGATGGCTTCCCCCTGTAGCCTGCTTGTCCTGCAAGGGCATAGACAATGCCTTAGTCACCTCTGGAGCCCTGGTACCCACTGCAGGCCTGAATGGTGGCTGGGACTCAGTACAAGTTTACTGGCAAATAATCAAAAGAGTCACAAAGTGATGTCGATGGCAAAAACTGGTTATGGACAGAGCTCACCTATGTTCATGACTCATTTTGGCCACATCCAATGTTGTCTTGCTAAAGAAACATGGACATCGTCAAATCTCATCTGGGAGCCACACGAAAGCCACGTGACCTGGCAGGCTTGAGCTTCATGGCATCTGTGGTGCCTTTTCCCATTTATTGTGTGTGGGATGGTTATTTGGATCTCAGCTTACCCACACTAAAGGCCTCTTTGGTAATGAAAATGAAACAAAAACCTCACAGACTTAACAAACAACAGTGAAGAGTATTTTTAGTTAGTAGATAATGAGAGCTCTATTTCAAGAGCTCCAAATACATTATCTCTTTTAATCCTTACAACAATTCTACAAGATAAATATAATTATCAACATTCCCATTTGATATATGATGAAATTGAGGATAGAGGGATTAAATACCTTGTGCAAAAACCACATGATCTTAACAATTGGCCGTATTTTCAGTGCTGCTGCAGGATTCAGGGGTTTTCCAAGTAGGGCCTGACATTTAGGCTTCTAGTTAGTGCTAAAGCACTGTTTACTTCAACGCTTGCTTCAAGATGCAAGAATCACCTGTACGATAGAGATTTTGATTACCCTTGATTGCATGCAGATTTGACCATTATTTTTTCCTTTTTATTCCCTATCATCACCATCATCAATATGGTTTTTATCATCTTCATTGCCACCATCCTTGAGCCCCTGCTAAGACATGAGCTTGGATGCCTGAAATATGAGAAGGTATATGGTACAGTCACATTATCTAAAACTATTCCATCTGAAAAGGAACACATAGATCTTTTTTCTAAAGCCCTTGAGTTTTCCACAAACAGAATGAGGTTCAGAGAAGCAAATGGGGGCATCCATAGTCAGATATCAAAGTCAGGATTTGAACTGAAGCCCTGATCTGATATTAATGCTGCTTCATCAGCACTGTGTTACCTGCCTGTGATGGTCAGTTTTATGTGTCAATTTGGCTAGGCTGTAGTACCTAGAAATTTAATTAAACATGAATCAAGATGTTGCTGTGAAGGTATTTTACAGATGTGTTAAACATCTATAATGGGTTGACTTTGAGTCTGGCTCTGTCACTCAGACTGCAGTGCAATGGCACAATATCCACTCACTGCAACCTCTGCCTCGGGTTCAAGCGATTCTCCTGCCTCATCCTCTGAGTAGCTGGGATTACAGGCACCTGCCACCATGCCTGGCTAATTTTTGTATTTTTAGTAGAGATGGGTTTTGTCCTGTTGGCCAGGCTGGTCTTGAACTCCTGACCTCAGTTGATCCACCTGCCTTGGCCTCCCAAAGTGCTGGGATTACAGGTGTGAGCCGCCGTGCCTGACCAGTTCTCTTTTCTTGAAGGAAGTTTTTACTACAGTTCCCTTCCTTTTCTGCCATTGCATATGGGACGTGATAGGGACAGACCCTTCGACTTTGACGTTTTAGAACTCACAAGGACCACATCTAGACTTGATAGACAGGAGAGCTTTCCCAGAGAGCCTGTCTATCCCTTAGCCGAAGGGCCAAGTGTAGGTGAATATTGAAAAGATGTTTATGGCGGAAGGGGCACTGCAGAGGGTGGATTGTGGCAGACGCTGCTTGTGATCTGTCCAGTATAATTCTCTTCTAGTTCTTTTACAAGAGAATTCCCATTTTGTTGGGGCATTGACAGCAATGTATGCTGTTTCTATAAAACGACATTTCAGTGCCTCCCTTGCAGATTGGACTAGTCATGTGACATGATCCTTGACAGCTTTTCTGGACTTTCAAAAGCCCATTTACCCTTTATCCCTTCCTTTCCTCTTGCAGGGAATGCAGGGATGATTGCTGGAGCTCTGGCAGTCATGTTGCAAGCACACGAATAAGCATCCCATCCTGAGGTCCTTGGTGAGAGCCAAGGCTTGCTGCACCAGTCACTGACTCCTAACTCTTGGACTTTCTGTGACGTATGAGAAGGAAACACCCATATTTGGGTTAAGCCACTGTTGCTTGGGCTTAGAGTTCCGCATAGCTGCACTAGGTGCTGTAGGCTTGAATCGCCGAGGCTCAAGCTGGGTCAAATGAGGTGAGGAGGACCAGGCAGCGAGGGGCTCTTGCTCACATAAGTCAAGCGATTTGCCAGAGCCAGGAAGTGGGGGCGTTGAGGTCTCAGGATATCTTCTTTTGTCACCGATGTGAGCTGCACCTCCTGCTTCCTCTCAGGTCCCTGAGAAAGGGACAGTCAGGCTGTCATCTTGGGAGACTTTTCCAGGACTGGGGGAGGGTGGGAGCACGGGATGGTGGTGGGGGGCTGCTGGGAATCCTTCTCAGTAACATAAAAGGAACTCCATCAGGGACAAATCATTGTGATGAAAGGCGCGTCTATACCATGGTGGACACTTTCTCAGAACACCAATTTAGGCTTGTGAGCTTGCAGCCCCTTGGACAGGCTGGCAACCTTCATTTCCCCGGGGAAGGAGCAGCCAGAACATAGACCTTGCTCAGGTTACCCTAAGCCCAGGCACCTGGAGGTGGCCGGGGGAAGGCAAATAGTCTAGAAAGGCCATTTTTAGGACATAGGCAGCCTAAGTGTGCTTCAAAGTAGTCGTTCATTCATTTATTCACTCAACAAATGTTTGTTGAGCCCTTAACAGAAACCACACTTTGAAGAGCATGAGACACAGAGATGGCCTGTGAGGGGTTATATGACACTGCCCCGACTTCTGGCACTTCCTGGTGTGGTCTGCTTTGCGTAATCCCTGCTGCTGGGCTTTCCATGTCTCGGGCAGGCTCCTCCTCATGCATCTGTGCCTTTTTTCTGCCCAGACGGCTGGTGCCTGCTTGGCCAGCTCACTTTGGCCAGGCCTTCATCCAATGTCACATCCTCAGATTGCAACCTTTAACCACACATCTGCAACGGCACCCCCAGCCCCGGGCTTTCACTCTCCCCACCCAGCTTCATCCTCCTCCCCAACAGGTTACCCCTTGCCCTGGCCTGGTTTCCTAGGCATCTGTCTCCCCCACTAGGATGTTACTTAAGAGAGCAGGGGTCTGGCGTTGCTCCCTGCTAGGACCCATGCCCGGAGAATTGTCTGGCATAGAATTGACACTTCCAATGTATTTGTTGAATGAAAGCACCAGGACATCCAGAGGCTCCCAGGACAGTAGAGGAGCAGACCATGTCACCAGCCTGCAGCCGGAATGTGAAGACAGAACCCTCAGGGGACTGGGATGGAGGAGAGGCAGGCCATTGCTGGCTGCAAAAGGTGACTGTGCATGGGAGACAGAGCAGGACTAACTGGGGACCGAGGGTCCAGCACAGAGAGAGGGGATGAGATGCCTGGAGGTGAGGAAGTGAGAGGGTGATGGGACCAATGTGAGGTGGGCAAAGAGGTGGGCAGTAGGGGGAGGTTGAGAAGAGTCATCCCCAGCCCCAGCCTCCCTTCCTGTGGGAAAGTGCAATGTGGAAGTGAGCTTTAGAGCTGGGGCATGCCCCCTGGGGAGAGTCTTTTGTTTTTAATAGTTTCTTTTTAATGGCTTGTTTTAATAGCTTTGGTGTTTAGTTTGTTTTTAATAGCTGCTTTGGTTGTAGAAGCCTGGCTGTGGGCGATTCATGGAGCCAGTGCTGTCTCGGGCTCTCTACGTAAGAAGGGGTGAGGCTTCAATATCTGGACAACAGTAGCTTCTCCAGCCAGGAAGGAGGTAGAGAAGTTGCAGAGACAGCCAACACCCTCTGCCACAGTAGCATCGACCTTCTGCCTGGGGATAAGGACACATTGGTTGGAAAAGAGATGAGGCAGGACACTAAGAGGATAGGAGAGGTGAAGGGTTAGGGCTCTCAGTGAAGAGATCGGAGGTGAGACCGAAGTGGAGGTGGTAGGAGGTTCCAGGGGAGACGCCACCAGGACACTCCTCAATGGAAGGAGGGTTGAGCGTGAGGGCTTGGTGTGCAGGGCTGCATACTGGTCATCCCCAAAGGTCCTCCAGTGCAGGGCTGTGAGCTAACCCCAGCTGCCTTTCCTAACCCCAATAGATGATAGACAAGAAATTTGGTGGCAGTAAACCAGACTTAGTTCTAACTAGGTGAAATCATTAACCCCCAAATGCCCCCATGGATCTGCGGAGGGCTGCCAGGTTCCCTGTTCAGCGAAGTGGGGCTTTAGCCTGTTTACCTGAATCTGTGAAAAGAGAGAGACCTCAGTTTGATTTTCACTTTACAAAGGAGAGCAGAGGCCGGGTGCGGTGGCTCACATCTGTAATCCCAGTACGTCAGGAGACGGAGGGCTGCGGATCACGCAGTCAAGAGATCGAGACCATCCTGACCAACATGATGAAACCCTGTCTCTACTAAAAATACAAACATTAGCAGGGCATGGTGGCGTGCGCCTGTAATCCCAGCTACTCGGGAGGCTGGGGCAGAATTGCTTGAACCAGGGAAAGATTGCGGTGAGCTGAGATCGTGCCACTGCACTCCAGCCTGGCCACAGAGTGAGATTCTGTCTCAATAAACAAAACAAAACAAAAACAAAAAAATTAAAAACAAAAGAGAGCAGAGATGATGTAATTGCAAAAGTGGGGGCGGGGGTGGTTTGGAAGTGCATACGTTTGGAACAGGGCACCAGTGATTCCAAGAGTGGCCCTGCAGTACTCAGACCCACATGGAAACTTAATTTCTTCAAAGCCGGTCCTCTTTACACCTGGGAAAACTGGCACACTGGCTAGAGGAGTTCTGGTCAAGCCTGTCCTGGAGGGGAGGCTGTGACTGGGAACTCAGAGGCTGGGGAGGGACGGCCTGAAGCAGCTTTGGAAAAGAGGGAGCAATCCTGGGAGCCTGAGAGGTGAAAGGAAGAATTGGAGGCCCCAGAACCTCAGTTCATGGGAGCACTGTGTGTTTATTCGGTATCTCCTCTGCCTAGAACGGTGTCAGGCACATAATCAAAAACCAGATCCATATTTGTTGAATTCATGAAAGAAAGAAGCTCCTGATGATAGTAATGTGGCCAACAGCAGCCCTGGGGGTTTACCAGTTTACCACTGGTAGGGCACTTCAGAAATGAGCCCAGGTTCTCGAGTCCACCCATTTCTGTGGTTCTGTTGAAAGGGGAGAGCTGAGCTGCTGGGGACTGTGGGAGCCACACAGAGAGGATGAAAAGCCGAAAGGATGGGGCCCTGAGTGTGTGAATTCATATATATGAGGGGGGAATCATGTCCTCCAAAACTTACATGTTGGAATCCTAACCGCTCCCCCACCCCTTCCTCAGAATATGACTGTGTTTGGAGAAAGAGTCTTTAATGAGGTAAATAAGGCAAGATGAGGTCATATAGGAAGGACCCTAATCCCACAGGACTGATATACTTACAAAGAGATGAGATTAGTAAACAGACACTCATAGAGGGGCAGCCACGTGAGGACGCAGGGAGAAGATGGCCGTCTACAGGCCAGGAGCGAGGTCTCCGGGGAAACCAGCCGTGCTGACACCCTAAACTCGGACTTGCAGACTCCAGAACTGTGAGGAAATAGATTTCTCTTATCTCAGCCTGCGGTCTGGGGTCCTGTGTTATGGCAGCTGAAGCAGACTACAGTGTGGGCATCAACCTTGCATGGGTGGGGCAAGGCTGGTGTCTCCCTCCAAAGAAAGGGAAAGACATTATGGCCCCCAGGACAGAGAAGAGCTTCTCCAACAATACTGGGAAAGGAAGAACCCATTCATTTGATTTAAAAATGTTGAATCTGTTGTCGGTCAGTACTTACAAGAATACAATAAAAGGAATGATTATAAAATGTATTAGGCACACAAAATATGAGCCAAGTGTTCTTGCACTTGGATATCACGACAAAGTCAAATTGCTCTACATTTCTAAATATGTACCCACCATGTCTGTCCTTATTTCACTTTGTGTAGGTAACAAACTGCCCAGAACTCACTGCTAGTTGTAATTCCTTTTAGAAGCACTGCTCTAAGGCCCTGCCACTCATTCCAGGATTGGTCTGGCTTTAGAGATCAGACACCTGGGGAGATGTGTCCAGTGGGAAGCTCCGAGGGGTCCTGCCAGCCACACCCCCTGTGATGGCGTCCTTTAGAGGACACTCATGCATGGCCTGGCTGCCTGCAGCTGAGAGCCTTCTCAGCAATAAGGAGAAGAAAAATGAGCATCTTTCCTTTCCAGGAGTAAAGAGGGGTGCAGAAGGGGAGGGAAGAGAAGAATCCAGAGGGTAACTAGAAGACAAAACTCCTAATCCAACCACAGCAGCCACCTCAGCTCTGCAATCAGGACTTGGTGAATTTTCTGTTGAAGTCAATCTGAGCTCATGTGACTGTAGAATGATGCTTGCTTTGGTGTCTGGGTAAAGGCAATCATGGAGCTGGAACTATAACAAAACACAGAGCAACTTCTTTCAGGAAGATTTGCAATTCCTCTGCAATTAGCAGAGGAACAACGTTAATAATAATAGCTCACCTCCTATTATCCTGTCCACAGGTCCATGGAGACGGTGACTCTGGGAAGCTGGTGAAGATTTCGAGTAGCAACTGTGAGGGCTGGACCTGACTAGGGAATGAGAGAAACCTTTAGAAAGAGCATCAAAGACTGGACCAGGGAATGAGAAAAACATTTAGGAAATGAATCAAAATCTCAGTTAATGCTGAGACAGTGAATTTGAAGTAACTTAAATCCACAGAAGTGAGCAAATTCTTCCAGAAGCTTCTAACTGGTGACAGTGGAGGAGAGGAAGGTAGGTTGTTGCATTGTTCTGCAAGAGAGTGGGTGAAGTGTGTTCCATGAGAATGGGGCTGGGCCGAGAGCCATTGTAGAGCCAGGAAGCAGGAGAAGGCATGGAGGCAGCATGGCTGAAAGGCTACCGGGCAGTCTTGTGGTGAGAACAGGAGAGGAGAGAGCTGGAGGGTTAGGGGACTGTGGCCTGAGACTGAGCTCTTTGAGTTTAGGTTTCTAGAGCTGATCACATCTGGGCAATAAAGTCTGGGGAGTAGGTGATGAGTGAGTTGGTGAGTTGGAGTGTGGATGAAGGGTACTAAATGGAGGGGATTTGAGGCCAGGTCATGGGCTGGTGCCACACAAACATACGGACATCAGGGAACAGTGGCAGTTCCGCAGTGGATGGGGAGATTCTGCATGGCCAGGTGCCAAACTCCTCATGGCTAGGGAGCAAGTCCATGAGGTCTGAGGATGACAGCAGCAAGGAGCTGCTGATGGGGGCAGAACCTGACAGTGGACGTGCCCTTCGAAGGAAGGAGGGGCTATGCCGAAGTGTGAGAATGGTGGCCTGACAGCAGCATTGGGGAAAGCCAGCCTATCCTAGGAGGCCTGGGGTGGCAGAGTTCCCCCGAGAACAGCTGAGGAAGTGACAGTCCAGAGGCCGCTGGTTCTTACTCAGTGTGTAAGTGCCAGTGGCTGTGTTTACACACCCGGTCCCAGGAACCAGGTTCCTATAACAAGCTGTGGCTCCTCCTCTCACCTTTTTAGGACCTGCGTTGTCCTGTCCTTCTCATATCCTTAGTCTCACCCCATCACTGGCCACTTCCTTCTGTCCCCAGGCAGGCACAGGCTGCCTCCTCTGGCCACCATCTTGTTTCTTTCCTGCCATGCATTGGCAAACTTCCCAAACCAAAGGTATATAATTTCTGCCTCCATTTCCCTACCACGCTCTCACCTATAATCTCTCTTCTGTCCTCTCTCCTCAACTGAACAGCTCTCTTGGAGGCCACCAGGGCTCCCTGCACTGTCAAGAGTTGGTGCCATTTCCTTTTTATTCTCCTGGTGTCTCAGCAGCCGTGGTTGGATTACCATTCCTTCACCCTGCAAACACGCTTAGCCTGTTTTCACACTGTTGTACCCTCCTGATTCTTGACTCTTCTCTCTCCATTCCCTTTCTGATGCTTCATTCTCTTTCTTGTATCTTCAATAAAATCCCTTTTTGGGGCTACGCCGTTCTCTACCCAAAGCACAGTATAGTGATGAGATGCATAGAGGCCAATGCCAAACTGCCTAGACCCAAATTCTGGCTCCGCCACAGACCAGCCAAATGACCTTGGGAAATTAGTTCTCATTTCCATGACTCTGTTTCCTCATATGGAAAGTGGTATAGTAATAATACCTACCTCCTAGGGTTTTTGAAACTCTAGACAGTGGCTGCTATATGATAATTATTAAGCCTTTTTCCTTTGGGGCTCTCCCATCTACCACTCTGGCTCCATTTAAGGCACATTTTAAGCCTTTGTCAGATAGTCCCATGAAATTAGTTTCATTTGGAGTGAATTCATGTTCTCATTGCTGATTCTCTTGACTGTCTCTTTACATCATATTTGTCATGTGATTTTAAATGTTGGTTTCAGGCTCACCTAGACTAGGGGGTTTGCTTTTGTTCTGTTTTCTCTTCCCCCTCTGTCTGCCACCCTCCCTGGGTAGTAGTTTTGTGGTGGCCCTCATGCAGGGCCACCGAGTTCTAACTCAGTTCCCTAGTTAGAATGGAGTCTCCTAGTGACATTGTGGGAGTTCTTCTTTTGCAAATATATTGGGGGATATTCTAGACCCAGTCACCAGCCGTGTGGCTGAGTCTTTTTGATCCCTCTTACTTATTACACCAATGGCTTCTTGTAAATGAAGCAATTTTAATAAGTTAAAATAAAGGTTGTCAAAACCAGTAGTTATCAGCTGAAGTCCTGATTCTTCATGGCAGAGCCCAGAATATGAGTAGCACAAATATATTTCCAGTAGTTTATGTGTGTGACACCAATGGCTTCCTATAAACCAGGGTTTCTCAATCTCATCGCTGCTGACCTTTGGGGCTGGGTAATTCTTTGTCATGGAGGGGGTTGTTCTGTGTATTGCAGGGTATTTAGCAGTGTCCTTAGCCTCTATACACTGGATGTTAGTAGCATGCCCCCCCTCCACCTGAAACAAAAAAATGTCTTCAGCCATTGCCATGTGTTCCCTGGGCAACCCCTGCTGCACCAGCAGATCTCCAGTATCATAAAGCCATGTCCCCACGCAGGGGTCACCATTCCCTCTTACAGCTTCTGTGTCTGAAAGGTATGGAGGAGCCCAGCCAGCCTGTGGTCTCAGCCCTACTCATTGCTTTGTGTTTTTCGTCTGATTTTGGGCAATACAGATGTTTGCCTTTTTGGGATTATAGGGGGAAACCCTAGTTATATCTTTTTGTTGTTTCTTTGTTTCATTTGGTTTCTCATGGCTATGAAATGGGAGCAGAGGGTGTAAAGTCATGCAGATGTACTACTTCATCTGGATCCAAATACCTTCTCCTTTTCATCCTTCAAGAATGGTGTCCTCCTTTCAGTCATGATAGTCTTTCTATCTTTGGAACATTTATAGCACTTATTGTCAACAGTCGTCACTTGGCATGTTCTGCTTTCAGCCACTCAGAAGGGTTGTCAAACTCTAGGATTGGTATTTGATTTTAACTGGCTTGTCTCTTGCGGCTACAGTCTGATGTTGGCTTCTCTGAGGTTTCTTTGCATACTCAGAAGTAACTAAGGGAGCAGGTGGAGTATCGTAGGTATTTGGGAAACACTGAGTCATGAATCTCTTATTGATCGGTACAAAGGCCTCTGAGGCTCAGGTTCAAAAGTTCTAGCTACTATGTTGCAGTTTTGAGTCATTGAAGAAGGTTCTCTGTAGTACAAAGGCTATTTGACCATGCAACTCACAAAATCAGAGATATTACACGTGGTCATTGTTAGAGATAAGGTAGCCCTGGGTCCTGATTGCCTGGGGACAGTTCCAGTTTACTCCTGTCATCAGATGGAATTGAGAGTGCCCTATTTCATTCCCCAGAGTGCCTTGGTTTAGCTGATAAAATATGAGGTAACCCCACTTCGAGGCCACTAAGTATACTCTCCTTATTTTATAAATGTGGATATTGAACAAATTATATTTTCCCTTTACTTACAGTGTTTCCCCACATTCCCCTGGAGAAAAAAAGCTAGTGAAATGTTTTATTGGCACTATGTGCTTATTCATGTATTTGGATAAACTGGCATTTACTGACTAGCAATAACTGCTATGCACTTGGCAGGTAGGGGCTCAATACATGTGAACCAAACATACATCATCAGAAATGCCTTTGCCGTACTTGTATTCTGTGCTCTGCATGAAGCATCTGGACTTCTGCTGATGACTACTGTGTTTGATGATGTTTGTGCTGATTAAAATTACCTGGGCAAACCTAGATTTCCACCTACAGTGTGATCTGCCCCCCAGAGCCCACAGCCACACACATCTGGTCACTGGGACTGACCACCTCTGTCAGCCAGAAGCAAGGCTTAAGTACTTCATTTGTGGAATTGATCAGTTCAAGGCGGAGAACACATCACGAAATCTTTGCCTCTTAATGGTAACACACCCTGAGTCCCCATAACTTACACCGGCTACTCTTCTACCTAGTTAATTTCCAGGGAAGAAACTGCCAGGCTGGAGGTCACAGTTTGTCCTCTGCCTCCAGGCAGCCCTGCATCTAAACGTGTATTCTAAACAAACCGAAAACTAAAAAGCGAATTTCCGGTCCTCCAAGGGAGTTGGTTTGAAAAGTCCAGGCTCCAGTGGTTCGCCATAGGTGCTGCCAACCTAAAACCAAAGTGATCCATGTTGTCTGAAGTGAAGAAGGAGGGCCCTCCGGGGGGAAGCTGCTGTTTGGCTTTGACAGAGAAAACAGCTAAGGATGATTGACTTCTTGGCTGTCTCATTCAGGCCTCCGTGTGCTGCCTCCTGTCTGATGCAGTGTCATCGTGTGTCCTTCTCTGCTTTCTTCTGGGAGATGGAAAACTGCCCCCCACCTTTCCACTGGTGTCCCCCACTCAGGACCTGGAGTTCCTACCCAGTACCATAGTAGACAGAATGCTCCCCCAATCCTGCAGGCTGGTCATGACCCCCCAGATGGCTGGAACAGGGTGGGAGCCGCTGGTGCTCAGAGGGCTCCCCTGCAAGCTCCCAGGCTGTGTTTAACAGTCTTGACAAGTGTACCCTTGGGCAGAGGGCCAGGGACAATCTGTGTAACCCACTAAGCTAATTATCCTCTCTGCAGACGGCCTCCTGCCCTAATCCTCTTGGGTTTGCCATAATCCAGCTCCCTCTGGGGTGAGCGGCCAGGGTGGCAGGCCTCTGTGCAAATGGACCATCTGTTGGAGCTCAGGAGGCTGGACTCCTGCCCAAGGGACTGGGGCCTCAGGCTCTCAGGCCAAGGAGAGTGGCCCCGAGGACAGTACAGAGGAGCGTGGCCAGCCCTGCGGTCCAGCGGGGCTGAGACAGTGGCAGGGAAGGAGGCGGCATCCACATCGGCCTGACTTTCCTCCAACAGATGTCCCCCTGAGGCTTAGGAGCTCAGGGGAGCTGAGCCATGCCCTTGTGCTCCCTGGAGGACGGTGAGTCAGCAGCTGCCTGTGTCTCACAGGGTCAGCCAGACACCTTAGGGGCAGAGCCTTGGCTCTGGGAAGTCATAGCAAGCAGGGAGGCGTTTTGGCCTGAGAGCCTGGGAGGGATGTCTCGAACAGGATGCTTGCAGTGAGGCAAGATCGGGTCTCTTCTGCAAGGCCTGCTGGGCTGTTTGGGAGCAGATCATGTTTAAACACGGCGCGGTGGAGTTTCAGGTTCCTGCTCGTTGATTTACAGGATGTTAGTATCATAGCCTGTGTGGTTCTCCAACCTGGACATGGAGGGTGAGCAATGCAGTCGCTGGAGCCAGAGAGGGAGAAATCCCTCCCCAGGACCCTCCTGGGGCCCTTGGAGAGGAAGGAGAAGGGGGCCAGCTACCCCTCGACTCCTGCTAGGTGAGGTCAGCTGGGGTGGGAGAGGATTCTGGGGAGGGGTCCGATTTGCTTCTTAGGAGACCTAGACTTCAAGCAGCCTCTGAAGACCCAGGGCAAATAGAGTGACAAGGAAGGGGCACAGAGGGTCCCTATGAAAGAGGTCATTGAATATTCTCTAGGCTGGTCATTGAGTTTCCCTGGCATCCTGGGCCCATTTCTGCAGAAGAGACTGAGGCCCAGAGAGATGAAGCCTTGGAAGGGCCACAAAATCAAACTGGAGCCTCTCTTTTCATGATCATAACACCCCCGGCAGCTGGGCAAGTGCCGATCTGTCTGGTTTTCTGGTGGAGAAACTGAGGCTTAGGCGAGATAAAGGTTCCAACAGCAAATGAGCAGAGATCCATGGTCCAGACTGGGCCCCTCAGACCAGGTCCAGCGTGGCTGTGGGTGACTGTCCTGTGCCTCAGCTCTGTACTTCCCCATGGGCCACGCCTCACAGCCCACTCATCCCCTGCCCCAGGCTCCCTCCCCAGCTGCTGCACAGGAAAGGGAAAAGGGACAAAGACACTGCCTTGGGGTGCACCTTGGAGGAGGTCCCGGTAGGGCACCAGGGCTCGCTCCCTCGGAGAGGTCCACAGCCCAGAAACACATTTCAGATGGCGAGAACACATCTTTGAGTTGCGCATTCCGCATCATTCTTTGTTTACCCTCTTGGTTATATAAACATCTTCCAGAAATCCTCTTACAGATAATATTGACCTCAGACAGGCCTGCTGCTCTCTTCTAATGGGCGGGGGGAACAAGACGAGCTGGTGGCCATTTTTCGCACCTCTGTGCTTAATGTATATGTGTATATGTGTGCAGGTGTGCACTTGAGTGTGCATGTATGTACAGGTGTGTGTATGCATGTGTGATACATGTGTGGGAGGTGTGTGTGGACATGAATGTGCACCTGTGTACAGGTGTGTGCATGTGTGATGCATATGTAGGAGGTGTGTGTGGACATGAATGTGCACCTGTGTACAGGTGTGTGTATATGCATATGTGATGCCTGTGTGGGAGGTGTTTGGATATGTGTGTGTGTGTGTGTGTGTGTGCGCGCACGAGTGTGCATGTGTGTATAGGTGTGTGTGCACATGTGATGCATATGTGGGGGATGTTTGTGTTTATGTGCGTGGGTGTGCACATGAGTGTGCATGATGAGTGCACAAGTGTGTACACACATAATTGTGTGTGTGTGCGCGCGTGTGCTGCATGGGTTGGGGTTGTGTGTGTGTGTTGGAGGGAGACACCCGGTGTTATGGAGGGATCTGTGGACCTGCAGTCACAAAGCGTAGACCCACCGGGCCTGGCGAAATGGTATTCTGCTCCTCTGCTCCTGGGTTTTGATCTCTTAGGTGAAAATCACGGGGGTTGGACTAAACAAGCCTTCAGTTCCTTCCAGATCGATGGCCTGTGCATGCAGTGTTCAACAGCTTTCCCAGCTCCAAGTTAAATAACCCGTTCCTGCAACCTTTCCCTGTAAAAGACATTTTCCAATCCTTTAATCATCTTGGTTACTTTCCTCTGAACTCCCTCCAAGAGACCTGTGTCATTGGATAAGTATGTCACATAAATTAGTCAGTAAATCAATCTGTCAACAATATCTCTTGAGCAACCACTCTGTGGCTTTCTGGAGGTGCCAGGCTGATACAATCCAACCATAGAGGAACAAAAAGAGTTTTCACCCTGCCTCAGACCAGGAGTTCATTTATCCAACAGTGGCCTGAGGCACCCACCGGGATGTCATCAATCCCCAGAGACCTAAACCTTCCTCTGGAAATACCTTAGGTAACATTAGCTGGGCACCTGCGCTGTTCAGAGCTCTGCTAGGCACTGTGATAGAAAAGTGAGCATGGTGACCTCCAGGGAGGGCAGGCATGGAGGCCGGGAGGAGATAGGGAAGCAGGGGGATGTGGGCTCAGAGTGGGGAGCTGGCCACCCTCAGGCTGCAGATGGAACCTTGGTGTTCAGATGTGGGCTGCTTTGAAAGTTTTTTTTTTTTCTTCAATACAGAAGGATGAATTGTAAAATGAAGTAACCAAAAGCATTTAGAAATTGGAGAAAACCATACTTTCACTTTCAAAGGGTGATTTCACCACTCACTGGCTATGTGAACCTTGAGCAAGTCATTGAAGCTTTCTAAACTCTGAATTCTTTAAGATACTGTGGGGCTTATACCCGGCAGGAAGGAATATTTGAGTTAAATGATACTGCATCCGTCAAGTGTCTGGTGCATAGTGGGAGATCTACATGTATAATCCCCTTTCTCTCCAGAACTCATGATGGATCAGTTTCTGAAGAGGTCCCCAACGCTTCTGGATGGATATCTCTATTGTCAGCTTTACTATTAGCTGGGGCTCTAAGTTCTGTGAGTCCACTCTGTGATGTGTATCATGTTACTGTCCCAGCTTATTGATCCTAAAATAATTTCCTTCAACCCTGAATGATAGTCTTTTATTTATAGTGGAGCCATATGTGGCTTCATGATGGGAATGCATGCATTCTGAGAATTGTGTTGTTAGACAGTTATGTCATTGTTTTGTGCAAACATCATAGAGTGTACTTGCACAAGACTGGATGGTGTTGTCTACTACACACTCAGGCCCTATGCTGTAGCTTTCTGCTCCACGGCTACAAACCTGTACAGGATGGTACTGTACTGAATTCTATAGGCAACTGCAGCACCATGTGAAGTATTTGTGTTTCTAAAGATGGAAAAGAGAGTAAAGATGCAGCATGAAAGATTTGGCCAGGCACAGTGGCTCACACCTGTAATCCCAGTACTTTGGGAGGCCGAGGTGGGCAGATCACAAAGTCAGGAGTTTGAGAGCCGCCTGACCAACATGGTGAAATCTGTCTCTACTAAAAATACAACAACAATAATAATAAGCCAGGTGTGGTGGCATGCACCTCTAATCCTAGCCACTCAGGAGCTTGAGGCAGGAGAATTGCTCGAACCCAGGAGGCGGAGGTTACAGTGAACCAAGATCACGCCATTGTGCTCCAGCCTGGGTGACAGAGCAAGACTCCATCTCAAAAAAAAAAAAAAAATTTTTTTTAAATGGCACACCTGTATAGGCAGCGCCATGATTATCTCATGGGGTCACTGTCGTCGGTGAGGTCTGTCATTGATAGCAGTGCTGACTGTGTACTATATGCCTTGGGATTTTACAGTCATGGAGCAATAGCTCTGAGCATAGCTTTTATCTCCGTGGTTGGGATCCATGCTCTTTTTCAACTTAGCATCAATTTGCTGTGCTAGAAAGAGCACTTGGTCCTTGACCAAAACCCCTGATATCCTGATTCACCTGTCAAGACCGTTTTAGACAAACCACAGAGAATGCACTGCAGTGCTCCTCAGATGTCAGTGTGAGCAGAATCACCTGGAGGTTTTGGTAAACACACATTCCTGGGCTCCACCCCCAGATAATTTGCATTTCTAAGAAGATCCCAGGCCAGGCTGAGGCTGCAGGTCCAAGACTTAGACTGTGAGAACCTCTTGTATGGAAAGAGCAGCCCTGGAGTTTAGTGGAGCTTGGTAGAATCAGTTGCCCCTTCTGAGCCTGCTTCCTGATTTATCAGCCTTTACAGACTAGATCTCAAGGTAATCATTAGACAAATTATCCCAGAGCACCTTGCAAACCATAAAACACATAGCTATTAGCGGCTTAATGTTTCCCTTCAGCTTTCACTTGCTCACCTATAAAATGGGGATAATAATGGTAATTTTTATAAAGATTAAGTGACATAATCTACATAAAAGCACTTTGTGAAGTGTAAAGAACTATGGAGTCAGCTGGGCGCGGTGGCTTACGCCTGTAATCCCAGCACTCTGGGAGGCTGAAGAGGGTGGATCACCTGAGGTCAGGAGTTTGATAACAGCCTGGCCAACATGGTAAAACCTCATCTGTACTAAAAATACAAAAAAATTAGCTAGTTGTAGTGCCATCTACCTGTATTCCCAGCTACTGGGGAGGTTGAGGCACAAGAATAATTACCTTGGATGGCAGAGGTTGGCAGTGAGCCAAGATTGCACCGCCGTACTCCAGCCTAGGTGGCAGGGAGAGACTCTCCCTCAATTAAAAAGAAAAAAAAAATAACTACTGTGTCTTGCTTTTATGACTTCCTGAGCCTCAGTTTCCTCATCCCCAATGTGATAGAATGGCCAATGGGTCCATCCTGGGTGCCATCCTTGGTCACTTGGCAGCTCATTATCACAGATGTGGGTAATGCACGTTTGCGTGTAACACCATGGCTGATGCTGTTCTGTGTCTTGTTGGCCCCTTTGGTCAAAGCTGTTTTCTGGGGGACTGTATCCAGCTAGGATGCTTCTGCCTGCCAGAAACAAAGTTCCCAGCTAAAAGTGGCTTTAAAAATGTGGGGTTTGTTTTCCTGTCTAAAAAGAAGTCCAGAGGCAGGGAAGTTTGGGGCTGATAAGTTCATTGGCTTCGTGAGTAGATTCTCTGGGATTCTCTTGGCCTTCTCCTCATGATCACATGGTGGCTGCAGCAGCACTGAGCATTCCATACACACATCCCTAGAAGCAGGAAGAGATAAGTCTCAAATTTGCGTCTCTTTTGATGGGTGAAAACACTTTCTCAGAATCCTCTCATTGGCCGAGTTTGGATCACCTGCCTCACAATGAGGGAACTGGGATTGCATAATTGACTTAGGACAGCTCATATTCAACCCCTGTGGCTGGGAGGGTCCTACCAACTCCAGGCCACCCAATCAGGCCTGTGGCAGCAAACAAGTGATGGTGCAGGGGTGGCTGAAAACAGAGGAGGCAGCCAACAGTATCGGCCACATCCACTATCTCTTTCCAGGAAGAATCACGGGCATAAGGGAATTGCTTGCATATCTGTAATCCTGTGTGTTGTTCTGAAGCTGGAAGCATGGACAGAAAGGGGCTCCAGCAGAATCTCCAGAAGCTTTTTTCTTTTTTCCTTTTTTTTTTTTTTTTTTTTGAGAAGGAGTCTTAGTCTGTCATCCAGGCTGGAGTGCAATGGCGCAGTCTCGGCTCACTGCAACCTCCACCTCCCAGGTTCGAGCAATTCTCCTGCCTCAGTTTCCCAAGTAGCTGGGATTACAGGTGCGTGCCACCACAGTGGCTAATTTTTTTGTATTTTTAGTAGAGATGGGGTTTTGTCATGTTGGCCAGGCTGGTCTAGAACTCCTGGTCTCAGGTGATCCACCTGCCTTGGTCTCTCAAAGTACTAGAAGTACAGGCATGAGCCACCGTACCTGGCCAGAAGCTTTTAAAATATGTATTTATGAGCCTTCCCAAGAGAACACTGGGCTCTCTGGGATCCAGGGACAGCAACCGACCATCAAGCTGCCTCCTGTCCTGGTTGGGGCAAACCGTGGGCCAGCGGGTCAGAGTGAGACCACAGCCAGCGGGACTCAGCTGCCCACGGGTACTTCTCAGGCAAGGCCCTTGATCCTGAGGATTCACAAATGAAGACTGATGCATTGCTATTATGTGCTGTGTTTTCTCCTAAACCTGACATAGTCCTAGTCCCTAGAGTAGGCTCCTGACAGCTGCCGGAGTGCTTAAGAAAGAAACTCTACTGGCCATGAGTACTAGAGTTTGGTCAGCAGGTGAGGAGGAGGAGAATGAAGAGGGATTTGAGAGTAGAATCAG